CCAATGCTTAGCGGTGAGGGGGAAGGGAAAAGGGATAATCATTAATTACAAGAGGAGTCCTTGCATTGTTAAGCATAGACAATAAACAGAAAAATAAAACTGAATATGGATTTCAGGTTGTATTTCAGATATTTGTAGAGCATCTTCTATCTGATCTTCCCACATCACCGTGCAAATAGTCATGTGCATGAAATAACCTTTTTTACTAAATTTTACTGAACAACAAATACTATTTACACACAGATAATAAGTAACTTAAGTATGTATTCCTTCACAGTTTTTAAAAACGATTGTTAAAACAAACTAAACAATACTGCTGAGAACATGCTAAATAGACGTTTGTACAGTATAACACGCATAGCTCGAATTTGCCGGGACTGGCCTCCGTAATTCGAGAGATTCGTTGTTCGAGGGATATCTTAACAAAGATAAAGAAAAAAACAACAACAAAAAAACAGGACCGCAGGCACGACTCGACGGATGCGTGATTTTGAAACTTCTGTTTTCCAGCTATCCATATTATACTGTATGTTGTTAGCAGCAGCAGAATTGTGTTTGGCTGAAAATTTTCGAAGCATAGCAGTGATTTCAACATGGAAGATAGCCAAGACAATGGGCATGCTTGAAGTACTCCAAAGACTCTGCCTGCAATGCATGCTAGACACCCCCTGGCTCAATACCCTTTGAAAAAAAAAAATTACACATGACGGATCAGGGTGCCTTGGGCATTAACTAATCATGACATTGTTGTATTGTCAACTGCAATAGTTTCCCTCCACTGGACTCCGCCAAATGACAAAAAAGGTAAAGGAAGAATAAAGGGGCAGCAGCGAAGAGGAAAAATAAGATAAAGTAGATATATATGTATCACAACGCAGAGGAATGAGGCATTCATCAATTTTTGGGCATGTGGAGTTATTGGTATCATTAGAAAGCTGATTCATTTGCCTTGCTTTCTATGAAAACCCCCCCCACTTATATCTTGGATAGAAGTCAAGATATTTTCAATTGAAGTAGCTGGGGGTGGGTAGCCTGGCCTCAGAGGTATAATTAGAGAGAAAATGGCTGCAAGTTTGGTAACTACTATAGCTTGAGAGTCCTTGAAATCTGAAAATATAATATTTTGTGCCATTATTCAACGTTTTTCAGTGAAATGCACACACGGAAATATGCTTTCATGTGGACATAAGAAGTGTTGAGCCCCCCAAAAATTTTTTGGGTAAAAATTGCCAAACTATAGGAAAAAAACACCTTTTATTTAAATATTTTGACGAGCGCCTGATTTCACCACGATGCCTCCCATACTAATAAAAGAGAATTCAAGACCAAGATGGAGAAACAAGGATGGACCTGATATTTCCTCAACAGAGTTGTAAAAGACAGGACCAAAATGGCCACCTCCAGAGGACACCTTATTATGATATATTATGATGAATGATAGAATATAATGATGTACATCATCATGAGAAAATATGATTAAGCAAGAAAGAAAAAGAGTTTAATTTTACAGCTGCAATGTCTGAAATATAATTTTTCGTTTTTCACTTCAATGTGTCCTCCTCTCTAGTGTGTCTCTAACTGCCATTACCAACAGAAACATACAATTAATCTATAAGGGGCTTATTCCCACAATCACAAGCGTTTGGAAAGCAAACATTTGTACTGCAATAAAACAAGCAAGTCAAGCAACTTTGTCATTGTACACTGAAACTGATTAGAATTCAGACAGAAGATGAAAATAAAGCTGTAACCATAAGAATTTTATAATTAGTAAATTGTTACTTGTACATCTCACTGTAAATTGTGAATCAGTCTATAAACTGGTTTGGAGAAACATTTAGTCTTATAATAGGAGGTGCACCCCTCCCCTCATACACCTCCCCTTCCCCTCCAAGCTGTGAGTACCTCTCATATGACAAATATATTTTTTATTATCCCTTTCTGCAGTAAGAACAATGAATTTCCACATCTATTTTGTTTTCGGACCAGCTTGATCCCTTTACACTGAATTAAGTCATGCAGGCACATATTATATTGCAGTCTCAGAGCCTATTAAAATAATTATTAAAACAATTATTAGGAGTTGCTACTGATCATTGTAGTACTCGCTGTACTTATACTTATATATATAACAGAAGTTGCATTTAGTAGGCTACTACATGCATTTAGTAGGCTACTACATGTAGTAGCAAGTCATACTTTAGAGGCCTGGTGAATAAAGTATAAAGTATACAAGAGGTACCAGAGACAATTGTTGAAAGGAATTGATGTTGAAATGAGGCAAAGAAGAAATTGTGGATGTAGGTTATTATTTATATAGATCTACATTCTAGTACATTACGCATGCATAGAAAAATCAAATTGTAGCGCAGTAGTATTGCAGTCTACTAATGATAGTGTAATGGAAGTTGCAAATGTCAGAAGTATCACCAGAAGGCCTATACCACTCATTATGATTTACTATAATAGGCCTAATAATTATCAAAGATCTTCGACGATGATCCTTGTCTAGGTTACTTACCCAGAAAGCTATTCCATGACAAAAATCATCATTGTCAGGGAACATCTTTCCTGCTGTAGACCAAGGGGTAGTCAAGGTAGATATCTTGAAGAAAGAAACAAAATTCCAGCCAATACGAATCAAATCACACCTCAAATAAAATTGTCCTCATGACCATGGTACCGCTAGATATTGTGAACTTGACTTGCGTGTCGTGTGCCACAGACTGAGGCTTTGGAGTGATGGGTGCACAATTATAACTCCGTAGATCTAGATCAAGACTAGATTTATCTAGGGTCAAGAATCGAGGCCTAGATTTTGACCTAAAATAATAGTAAAGATAATTTTGAACGTATTGCATACGTTACGCTCTGATTTTGTCACCCACATAACTCCTGTCACTGTCACTCCAAGATGTTTGTCTACAACTCTGTTATGAATGAGAGAAGTAACGAATATCCGTCGTCCGTTGATAATATAAACAAAAACTCGCGGTTGGATCGCGCAGACAAAGTATCGTGCTTCTGTGTCCAATTACATAAGTCACTAATCATTGAAACACAGTATTTATTAAGTTTAAACCCTTATTTATCACTACTAGACAAAATATCTAGCCGTAGAGGCAAAAGAGATTCTATTTCAAAAGCATATTTTTAAAAATATATATGACTGCGTTTCCAGAAAATCTCTGGGATCAAAGAAGCTCGATTATATATTTTTTTTCTGAAGCGAATACTTTACCGCGTCAGAGGTCGTGGGCCTGTTCCACGAGGGCACGTTTTGCACTCCGTTTCTTTTGCACGCTTCACCCGATGCAACCGTTGTCGTCCCATATTAGATCTAATTATCTTCGCTTCACTATCCCCTTTCGTCACACTTTCTTCAGCCACGATTTTATCAGTTGCTGTTTTCATCCCATTTTGCAATAATAATATACTCTCACCGAATTGTATGTTGAAAGGCCTAGTGTAGCCAACGATCTTTGCCGCAAAGATCTTACACAAACAAGGTACGATCTTTGCTATAGGCTTATTATTGGGTAGCCTCATAGCCTACTGCATAAATAGGCCCAGGCTAGCAGACGGACAGATACACTCGATACCCAAAAGAACTTAATCCTACTCGGGAATCGTAGAGATCTAGCCTACATGTCTTCTGTGTGTGGTGGCAAAGAGCATACCGACAGCGCAACGAAAGAGGGCGCTGGAAATATACTTAATGTCTCTCAATACATCCACAACAGAGCTGGATCACAGCTGAAAAGAACGAAATGCATCAGGATAGTTTTTAGGCTTCCCCCTATTCACAATACAGTGGGTGTCGCATTCAACGAGGTCACATTCAACGAGAAGTCGGCTCCAACGAAGCAATCCTTATTCCTTAATCCCCATTTTCCTCTCTATATATCTTTAAAAATGAACGTCAGCTCCAACGAGGTTGCAAACAGACTGAAGTCGTTTTCAACGAGGTCGCAATAACTAAATAAAAGCAATTAACAGCCCCAAAAGTGAAGATTTTTTTTTTCTCCTGTCTCTCCACCTCACGCGAAGCCACAAGGCCCATATCCTCTATTCCTAACACACTGTATTGCTAGATCTAGTGTGCCTTGTAATATGGGCCCCAGAGCCAAGAGGATGGGCGAGGGTTGTCGGGCCAACGGTGTGAAACTGGATGACTCTGGATGGGTAGGTCTAGATCGAGACCTTCATTTCTTTTTTTTCAATTACATTTTCTTTTCTTCCCCTGATCAGAAAATCCAAGCTCCCGCCTTTGCTTTATGTAGATATCTAGATGCTCTTTGAGAATTTCGTCATTCATCAGGGGGAGCAACTGTTTTAATTACTGGTATTGGCACATCTTGTAATAATAACTTGTCTCCTTCCCTTTGTTTAGCCTTAGTCACGTAAGTCACGTTCAACGAGAGGTCGGATCCAACGAGGACAACAAGCTGGTCCCTGTAACGTCGTTGAATCCGACACCCACTGTACAGTTCAAGTCGCGAAAGCAGACGTCAGTTGAAAAGATTTCAAAAGCAACAGACCTAAAAACATTTATCGTGGAGGATCTTGTCAGGTTGGGCCAAAACACTAGGCTTAGCGTTTTCACTTCCATGAAGGAACATATAGCCTATCTGGCCTTCATCAAATCATTCAAATGGAACAAAAACTGAAACAGAAATTTGAAAAATATTTCTGCGGCGGGCACTGCCTGTACATACACGTAGCTAGATTCATCATAACGCATCGGATCTATATCGGCACGATTATTAGATCACTTAGGAATTTTAAACTGCACGCGCGCGCCTGTATGTGTGCGCGCGCCAAGGAGCTTATTGTAACCTTCTTGGCGCGCGCGCACGTGTGTTG